TGCTACATCGACGCAATCAAACACCGTCTTGATTTCGCTGTCATCTTCATTTGAAGACCTATCCTTTTTATCTTATGTTGTTGTAGTTTATCTTTTCAATCAAAGAGGATGAATAATTCCCTCTACCACTTGTAGTCAAGCAAATTGAAATTAATTGAAAAAATTTGTGTTTAAAAAAAAAGAAAGACCATTGTAAAGCCCTTTATACATTTCTTTATATTCGATCGATGGGTTATGTCAATTATTCGCGGTGGCTGTCCTCCTGTCAGGAATCCTAGGAATCGTTTCGGTTTCTTCATACATACAACTGAGTTGGCGGTGATCGTGGCCACAATACGATTTCTTTATCTAACCTTCAATTGCGATTCACTTTGTTCATCATTAGTTGATGCCAAAGGCGTTTTGGTTAATCAAAAGTATATGAGGTATATTTTAAGAAACCTCGGTGAAATAATTAACGCTAGATGTAGAAATTTCTCAGATACTTTTAATTAACCAAAACGCTATATATAATATTTTCTAAGGACACATATTGCAGTAAAAATTGCAGTAAATAGATAGAAAAAGTGGGATTTATTAAATGATGCCATAAAAATCTATAATTAAAGATGAACCGACAAACAAACGAAAAGTCAAAAGATTAACCAAGAATCATGACACATGTCATATGGGGAAGAGATGAATTAGTGACATAAGACTCTCGTACGAGAGAAAAACCTACTTTATATAATAAGATATATATTCCAGAGCACATAACTTTATTTTTTGGTTAGGCGAATTATGTAGTACAAAATTCTTAAAATAGTTACATTTACTATTCTATTTTTATATAATATATGCATATCGTGTGAATTTTATAGAACCTCCTATATGATGAATACAATATTGTTTTCTTAATAATAAATACAAAAATTTATCATAGGTCAATATTTTTGATGAATATAGGGAACTAATAATGAATACGCATTAACTTATTTGGCTAATGTATGCATCTGTGACACCATGCATTAAACCTTTAGGTGGTCTTTTGTTTTATTAGTCAATAATGAAGAAGTTTATAGTATATTATATGTCAAGTTACAGTATAATGATCAATGACAATTTTTGTAATCAATCTAATAAACAAATGGTTTTTGAATATATGGGTATGAGAGAGCTTATGGTGCTACCACGTAAGAAATGACAATATTGATGATAACATGTTAGCTTAAGATTAGTTCTCTATAATGCGTCTCAAATAATAATAAAAGATAGCACTAGACTAAGGAAACTTTCTAATAAAAACATGGCCAAAATATATTAATAAATAAATCAGTTAGAACCGTGTGTTTCTTTGGCTTGGCCCAAGCATCAACTCAACCAACCTTTAGAAGATTAGCTAATATATACAAATTTAAGTTAAGACAATAAAATAGGTGTTTAGAATTTTTTTTTTTTGCTTTATGAATTAGATTTTAAGATCGCTAAAAAACATATAGAATCCTTATTTAGGTTGTGAAAATATGCATGTTTCGTTTGTTTTTCGTATCTGTTTTAATTGGTGTATAGTTTTGTTATTGAAAATAAAAGAGTTACAGATTTTTTATATCTTATTAAAACTCTAATTTAATAAATATCAAACGGGTTAACGCGTGTCCAATTTATCCACCCTGTACTGAATTCATTTTTTTTGTCGGTCCAATGCAGATTTCTGTTTGTATATACAGTGAAACATCTTTAAATTAATAATGTTAGGATTACACTAAAATTATATTTTTTAATTAATTTCTTTCGATTATTAATTTATCGATATACTAATTAAACTAAAAACTCAATTTGAGATTATAAAATTATATTATTTTACAGAAATTTTTAGTGTATATTAATTTATAGACTATTAATTTAAACAGGTTATACTGTACATGTTTAGACCCCTTGATTTAATGCTATATCTAATCTAATTGTAAAACACTATTTCATTATAACTTTTACACTTAAAAATTTCTAACTTAACTCTTACAAACTACACTATTGTGGTGTAAACATACAATACAACACCAAATTAGGTGCACTATTATTCACAGCGTTAAAAATTGTCCACTTATTTATTTGAATAAAATGTTGTCTAAGTAAATATCATTGACAAGACAAATACATATAAAATAGGAAATAAATATAGAAAATAAGCATATTACATATATTAACGTAGTTAATTTTAATTTATTATTTATAATTATTATATGTTAAAATAGTAAATATTTTAGTGTGATATATTTTGGCGACATAATAAATTTATTTATTATCTATTAAGTAATGAGAAAATTTTGACGTTAATGATGTAAAAATAAAATAAAATTTGGTTGGTGTTGTAGTTTGAAAAAGAAAATAAATTAATGCTAAAACTATATTAAAATAATGTATTCTATATTATTAAAACTGAAGTACATATTAAATTTGTTTGGAAACAAGAATAGTAGACTAAATAAAAATTGTTTGGAAACATGAATACTTGCCTAATTTAAGTGATTTTTTATAGATGTTTTTCTATTTTAATCAATTCTAACCATTTCATTTATTATCTTTACTAAATAATTTGACATCATTTATTACAGAATTACAAAACAAATTTTTATTTTTTTCAAATTTTTATTTTTTATTTTACATTCATTTCACCATTTTAACTACTTCTTTAATTATATGTACTATAGTATTTTGACAGCATTTATTTTATATATTAACTATAATAATTTGACATATTTGAATGAAATGGCTCTATATGTGACAAGAATTAAAAATGGTTGACAAAATTTTTTATTTGCTTACATAATCAGTTAGACATAGACATTCAAATACCTGTTCAACTACGAGTTATTTATTTTGGATATAAGGTTTTTTTGAGTTTTGAAACTAGGCTTCATTCGGGTATTATAATTTTTCATGTGGATATTTCAAACCGGGTCTTCACAAGTCGAGACAAATTCAATTTTTGATATATAGAAATCTATAAATATTCAAAAACTAATGAATCTGAGGCATTTCCGAATATTTGTACCAAACGTAACAATATTAACCGATTTAGTTTGAATATTTTGAATTTAAACTAAACTTAACCTAAAAATAACAAATAACTAAACTAACCATATTACCATATTTGATTCAGGTTCGATTTTAATGTATAGAAACCTAAAAATATTTAAATATTTAGACAATTAATTATATTATGATACATATAAGATATTTAATACTCATCATGAAAGAAAAAAATTAATTTATAAAAAAATAACAATTAAAATCCACATGCCCGTGCGGGTCAATCGGACCAATCGCTAGTTTTATATTAAATGATGTTACAGATGGGAGATACCATTTTGTCATCTCTGACCAAGCATACATTATATTTTTTAAACTGTCTTTTTTCTCTCTTTTAGAAAAAAAAGAAAAACTACACACAATAAATTATGTTTGTCGTAATTTAAATTAGTAGATACCAAAGGATATCTTTCCCCATCTCACCGGTCTTCACTAATATGGACTATTTGTTTGGAGATTACCAAAGGATCATGACACCAGTTCTTTTCCTTGGATATTGTAGTATATCTTGAAGAATAGGAATAATCAAGTTTACAGAGGTAAGAGTGGTAATCCTCAGAAAAATTCTTCGGATGGCGGAAGCAGAAGGAGTAGTATGTGCAGATGCCCAACTCACGACTTCTGATTGGCATCCGACCACTCTCCCCTCAGTCGAGTGGCTTTCAACCCCACAAACACGAGTTTGTTTTGTTTAGGCCTGGGCATTCGGGTAGTCGGGTCGGGTTCGGGTCGGGTCCTTTCGGGTCCGGGTCTTTCGGGTCTAGGAGTTTAGGACCCGATAGGGTAATTTCAAATTTTCGATTTCGGTTCGGTTCGTACCGGGTCCGGGTCCGGGTCCGGGTCGGGTCGGGTAATTAGAATTTATCGGTTCGGATTCGGTTCGGTTTCGGGTCGGGTTCGGTTCGGGTTCGACCTAAAAAATACCTAAATATATAAAAAAAAAATCTGAAAATACTTATATATCCGAAAATATTCAAAATTTATTCAAAATTTGTGTTTTTACTATATTAAAATGTGTATATATATTAAACTATGCGAGATACAACAACAATTCGTTGTCTCCTAGTGATTGATCCCCTTACTCTCTATAGAAACAACCCGTCTTCGACTCCCCCTCAATGCATTTTATTTAATTTACACTATTAATTCGGGTACCCATCGGGTTTCGGGTTCGGTCCGGGTCGGGTCCAAGACCCGCGGGTCCTCCACAACAAGACCCGATAGGGTAATTTGCTCGGGTCGGTTCCTACCCGGACCCGGTTTTTTCGGATCGGTTTCGGGTCGGGTCTTCGGGTCCGGGTAAAATGCCCAGGCCTAGTTTTGTTGATGGGGCGTGGAGGGCACAAGATAAGTTCTCATGATAACGATGGTTCTATAGAATTATTGGTTCTGATGAGAAGATAATGGGGGTAATAAATCTCCGAAGAAGCTTATCCGCTTTACATGCAGAATGTGAGGCTTTGATTTGGACTATGGAATGTATTAGGACCCACAATTTTTCAGACATAGTTTTTGCAACAGACTATTTCCAACTGATGAAGATGATGTCATCGTCTGAAGAATGGCCAGCTTTTGTTACATATATGGAGGAGTTTCAACACAGTAAGACTTTGTTTCTTACCTTCCAAATTCGACATATTTCAAGGACACATAATTCAGTAGCGGACAAGCTTGCACGTGGTGTTAGATATTTTTCGCCAGCTATGTTTTATATCGGTTCTATGCCTCTGGTTTAGTTTTCCTTTTCGGAAGAGTGTACATTATAGTTTGGTTTTTTCGCTGTTGTCAAAAGAAAAAATTAGTAAATAACATCTATATATTATTAAATTAATTATACCCTAATTAAACAATTATGATCACACTTTAGTCTTTAGCATATTGGTAGGGAATATTCGGAAGTGTAATTTCATTACCTACTTTGAGAAACTTATCCGAACATTATCTGACACTCTGACATTCCGAGACTCTTTAGGAACACAGTCCAAAATACCTCAACAGATGGCATCATCGTATGACTTAACCAGAGACGACATCGCCGGAATCTCGATCAATCCTCCTGCGAGTAGCCGTGTGCCTTCTGTATACAGTGAAGTCCAAGTGAGTCGTATCGATCACGCGCTTCCTCTTCCTTCCGTTTTTAAAAGTCCCTTTAAGATCGTCGATGGTCCTCCGAGCTCCGCCGCCGGAAATTCAGGTCAATTGATCAACCTACTGTCTTAATTACTCTTACTAAACCGGATCCGCTAGAGTAAACCGGATTATGTCTTTTCCAATTTTGATTTTGATGATTGGTTTGTTACAGAGGAGATTGCGAAATTATTCCCAAATTTGTATGGACAACCATCGGCGTTATTGGTTCCTGACCAATCTAATAACACAATTGCATCGGACCAAAAGCTTAAAGTTGGAGTGGTTTTGTCTGGTGGTCAAGCACCTGGAGGACACAATGTTATTTGCGGAATTTTCGGTTACAACATTGTCTTTCTTTTTTTTTTTTTCATCGAACCAAAAGGTTAAAACTGGTGTGGTCTTGAAGTGTTTGTGTTGTTGTTGGTTTGGTTTGGTTTGGTTAGATTACTTGGAGGAACATGCAAAAGGAAGTAGACTGTTTGGTTTTCGTGGTGGTCCAGCTGGAATCATGAAGGGAAAATACGTTGACCTCACTTCTGATTTTGTCTATCCTTATAGAAACCAGGTATGAGAGGAAACTGAGTGGAAACGACCATCATTCAGTTTAATCTGTTTATGTTATTAGTTTCAAGGGTTTTCCATGCAACTTAAGTTTTTATCAGTTTATTGTTTTCTTTTTTATTTCGATTTTCTTTTGGTTTATTCGTACATATGGGAAAAAAACACAAGATCAATTTTTATTTTCTCTTCCTTTCGGTTATATATCTAGGTTCGGATTGCTTAAACCAAAATGGATACTATTAATTGATGTAAACAGTAGTTATAGAACCCACCAGGAAGCTTGTTATTTAAGATCTTTTTATGAATGGTTAATTTGGACTAATCAAAATTGGTCATGAAGAGTTGGAACTAAAACCTTGTATGAACTAATAGGAGCCTTTGTATTTTTTTTTCTTTTTAATGGCCTTTGTATTTTTTTTATTGATAATATATGTTGTGCCATTTCACAGGGTGGATTTGATATGATATGCAGTGGAAGAGACAAGATCGAAACTCCAGAGCAGGTAAACAGTTGTTTTTTTCTCTCTATCTTTGAACCTTCTCAATATCTACAATGTTTGTGACTTTCATCTATGCCATTTCACGATGGGTGTAATTAGCATCAGTTTGCTACGCATTGCAGTTTAAGCAAGCGGAAGAGACTGTAACAAAGATGGACTTAGATGGACTTGTGGTTATTGGTGGCGATGACTCCAATACTAATGCTTGTCTCCTCGCTGAACACTTCAGGTACATTTTTTTTCCAAGAGTGACCATTAGATAAGTGAAACGAGCTTTCTCACTAGTTGATTGGTAACTTTCTGTTTCTTATTCGGTTTCCAGAGGTAAAAACATGAAAACTAGGGTTATTGGGTGTCCCAAAACAATCGATGGTGATTTGAAGAGCAAAGAAGTCCCCACCAGTTTCGGGTTTGATACTGCTTGCAAGGTAAGTAACTTCAACATGGATCTTAAAAACATCACTCCATAGTTATGTCTCCTCCTAGTAAAACCTTATTAATGGCTTTGTGACATTATATTCGTGCAGATATACTCAGAAATGATTGGAAATGTTATGATCGATGCACGTTCCACGGGAAAATACTACCACTGTAACTCTATTTTCCCCTTTGCAAAATGGAATATCTTTGTTACAAGCTACAATTTCATTTCATCTGCTAATTTATCTACTGTATATAGTCGTGCGTCTTATGGGCCGTGCTGCTTCTCATATTACACTTGAATGCGCTTTGCAAACCCATCCAAACATTACCATAATTGGAGAAGAGGTAACTTCCGTTTTACTCAAGCTTTTTTTCTTTTATTCTTATTCTTCGGTTTGTTATAAAGCACCAAACATTTTTTTGTAGGTTTCTGAGAAACAACTAACGTTGAAAAATGTTACGGATTATATTGTTGATGTGATCTGTAAACGTGCTGAAAATGGTTATAACTACGGTGTCATTCTTGTTCCTGAAGGTCTTATTGATTTCATCCCTGAGGTATGATTATTCTCAGAGACTCACTTTTTCTCCCCATCTTAGTGTTCTTCAACTTCCATGTATGTTCCTTTTTTGCAGGTCCAAGAGCTTATTTCAGAACTGAACGAAATCTTAGCCCAAGGAAACGTTGATGAAGAAGGACAATGGAAGAAGAATCTTAAAGAAGAGACTCTGAAGCTTTTTGAGTTTCTTCCTCAAACAATTCAAGAACAACTGATGCTTGAGAGAGATCCACATGGAAATGTCCAGGTCTATTTCTTGGGACCATCTTATTTAATCAAAAACCGATAAAATTGCAAACTCAAAACCGGTTTATCTTGCATCTGTGTTAACCAGGTGGCTAAAATAGAGACAGAGAAAATGCTGATTCAAATGGTTGAAACCGAGTTAGAGAAAAAGAAGAAGGATGGTTCATATAAACGCGAGTTCATGGGGAAATCACACTTCTTTGGGTAATATTAAAGCCTAAAACATAAATATATATATATATATCATCTATATATAAATTACTAATTAGCCTCAACTTATGACAATCTGATGTGTATTTAGGTATGAGGGAAGATGTGGATTACCTACAAATTTCGATGCAACTTATTGTTATGCATTAGGTTACGGTGCTGGATCACTTCTCCAGAGTGGAAGGACCGGTTTAATTTCATCGGTTAAAGAAACTTTTCATCATTTCTTGAAAAATATCACAGAATGTTTCATTATTTCAAGACTACTTATGATTCTCACTTGTGTTTTTTGCAGGTTGGGAATTTGGCTGCTCCTGTTGAGAAATGGACAGTTGGTGGTACACCGCTAACTTCATTGATGGATGTTGAGAGAAGACATGGTAATGCAACCATTGTTATATCCTCTTAGTCTTAGCTATCAAAAACAAAAATTGTGACAAAAATAGCCCACAAGCGAAAAATCTCCAAAATAGCTAGTAAAATGACTAGATTACTCTAAACTTTAGACTTTAAATCTTACCCTAAGCTTCAATCTCTAAATACTAAATCCTAAAATCTAATCATTATTAAACTCTAATCACTAATTATTTTTCGTTTTTTTAATAAATGCTATTTTGGGAATTTTTCATATTGTGCGCTATTTTTGGAACAAAAATATATTTTAGTGCTATTCTATGCTATTTCTTTTTAATTTGTTCTAACATTTTTTTTTTATGTTGCAGGTAAATTCAAGCCTGTTATCAAGAAAGCTATGGTTGAACTTGAAGGTGAAGTCTTTTAGCTCAAAAATTTACCTTACTCGTTTGTTCTGTCTCACTCATGGCTTCTGATCAATTTTTAGGCGCACCGTTTAAGAAATTCGCTTCACAGCGTGAAGAATGGGCTTTGAAGAATAGATACATTTTTTTTTTTTGAAGAAATGTTAAATTCATTCAAAAAGAAAAAAGACTGTTTCTACAACTTTGCAATAACATTTTTACATAGAAGCAAAATATAAATTTCTATCTTTTCTCTAAACTCTTGTGCCAAGCCATCTTTGATAGCTACCTGCATACTTCCTATCTCCTTGCATCTTGATAACAGAAATCTTGTTTCTAACCNATTTTTACATAGAAGCAAAATATAAATTTCTATCTTTTCTCTAAACTCTTGTGCCAAGCCATCTTTGATAGCTACCTGCATACTTCCTATCTCCTTGCATCTTGATAACAGAAATCTTGTTTCTAACCTCCTTATCAATCCATTTCACCATATGGTGAACTTGTTTGGGGTTTTCACCATACCTTCTGCCATTCCTTTCTCTCCATAAACTCCAAATTGTAACTTGGAAAACATACCGAATAAGGAAACTATCTATTCTACCTCGCCCTCTATCAGCAAGTAGAATATTTAGCTCCTCCCAATTCGCAGTATATCCATTCCGCAGCAACTTCCCAACACTCGCTTTCCAGACCCCATAGGAGTAAGCACACTGGAAAAACAAATGGTCTCGAGTCTCAACCTCCTCCTCACATAGCACACAACATTGATTTGCTCCAGGATCCNAAGAGCCTTTTCTTGCGTCCTCCTTGATTGACCAGAAACTAGAGTCCCCAATCAGGTAATTTTGAATCCATTTTACCCACAGCGAAGGTGTAGAGGCAAGGATCCTCCATATCAACTTCAAACAACCAATTTGGTTTACTATGCGCAAAGATCTTACCCCTAGACCTCCTTCAGATTTCGGCTTGCATATAGTACTCCAAGCTACCTTAGCTTTCCTCGGGTTGAGACTAGGCCCGGACCACAGGAAAGCACCACATATCTTCTCCACCTCTTTTATGCATTCTTGTGGGAGCCTAAAAGCTTGGAGCCAGAAATTTATCATGCTTACAATAACAGACTGTATCAAAACCAGTCTCCCCGCCATAGATAAATGTCTTGCTGTCCAAGAGCTCACTCTACGACGAATCTGATCCAGCAGAGGCTTATAGTCTGTAGCCGACATTCTCTTGGTAAGCAAAGGCAAACCCAAATACTTCACAGGTAGCTCTCCAAATTGAATAGTGTACCTCTGCTCCATCTCTCTTCTTCTAATATCAGAAATCCCAGCAAGATAAATAGTGGACTTCTCCATACTGATTCTTAGCCCCGAAATTCTTGCAAAGCGATCAAAAACCTCAGTAATACCTTCCAAAGATCGGACTTTCCCATCTGTAAAAACTAAAATGTCATCAGCAAAACTCAAGTGAGTTAAGTTCATGCTTTGACACTTAGGATGGTACCCCATTCTTATATCCAAAGCAGCCTTGTCAAGGAGTTTAGAAAGGACATTCATACTTATTACGAACAGGTATGGAGATAAAGCGCATCCTTGCCTTAGCCCCCGACTGCTTCTGAAATATCCAGCTAATTCCCCGTTCACTTGCACCGAGAACGAAGCAGTTGTCACACACAAAGACACCCAGTGAATAAACTCAGCAGGAAACTTCATAGCCTTCAAATTATTCAGGAGAAAAGACCATTGAACAGTGTCGAAGGCCTTCGAAATGTCATATTTGATTGCACATCTTTCTGAAACAGTCTCTTTATGATACTCCTTAACTATTTCCGTAGCCAAGAGCAAATTCTCAATCAAGAGCCTCCCCTTAACGAAAGCTGACTGATTCAAAGCAATAAACTCAGGGAGAGTAGTCTTTAACCTGTTAGCCAATATCTTTGAGACAACTTTGTATATCACATTACAGCATGATATGGGTCGGAAGTCCTTCATCTCTCTAGCTCCCAATCTCTTCGGTATCAAAGCTAGAATAGTAGTATTGACACCCTTTGGTAGAAAACCCTTCTCAAAAAATGACTTGACCGCTATAATGAACTCTGCACCCACAATCTCCCAAGCAGATTTAAAAAACTCAGCCGTATACCCATCAGGACCAGGTGCTTTATCATTTGGCATAGAGAACAGCACTCTTTGAATCTCCTCTGCCGTGACTTCTTGAATCAACTGCGCACTCTTCTCTGTTGAGCATCTGTAAGGTAAAATCTGTTCAAGCTCTTCCACACTAATCCCATCAAAACCATGGGGATCCTGTTGCAGAAATTCCCTGAAAAATTTCTCTGCCTCAACCTTAACATCCTCTGCAGTATTAACAACAGTTCCATCACTTCTTTGAATCTCATGGATTGCATTTCTTGTAGCTCTGACAGTAGCCGCTCTGTGATAGACTTTATTATTTCCATCGCCAACCTTTAGCCAATGGAGCTTTGATTTTTGTTTAAGAACCTTTTCTTCTATCCGAGACAGTCTGTCCCAACTAAGAGCAGCATCTCTCTCCTCAGCCATAGCATCTTCAGTTGGGTTCATCATACTAATCTCTTGCTTTCTGCACAAATCATCGAAAGCTTCTTTGGTACGTTTAGATAGTTTCCCAAATCTTTCTTTACTAAGCTCCCGTAGACTTGGTTTCAAAGCCTTCAACTTCTTTGAGAAACGATGCATAGAGGAAGTGGAAGAGAAAATTGATTCAGTAGTCCTCCAGAACTGCTTCACCATTGGCTTAAAATCTTCCATATCAGTGAGGGCATTAATAAACTTGAAGGGTCTCCGCGGCTGGTTTTGTGGAGTCTTTAGGTGCACTCTGCATCTTAAGTGATCAGAACAGCCTCCACTCTCAAAAACACTATAAGCATTAGCATATCTTCTAGCCCAGGATTCATTAATCAATACTCTGTCAAGCTTCTTTGATATCAAACCCTGCTCTCTCCTATTTGTCCAAGTATAAACAGGACCATGTGCAGTAGCATCAAACAGACCACAATACTGAACCGTGCTTCGAAAGTCCACCATACCAGAAGTAATGACATCACTATTCGAATGCTCCTCCACAGCTATAATCTCATTAAAATCACCTACAACCATCCAAGACTTTGTACGGATAATAGGAGAATCATAATGACACTTCAAATCCTCCCATAAACTTCTTCTTTCTTCCTCACTATTCGAGGCGTAAACCACCGAGTAAAAAAACTCCTCCCTCTCCCCTTCCATCAAAACAGAGACAGTTATCAGCTGCCCACTCTTGAAAAAAGGAGTAACTCGAACCCCTTGCTTCCACACTAACCAAATACGCCCCAAAACATTATACTCATAATTGTCAATCACTGACCAGCCATTAAAAACCTTTGACGTTATTCTCATTCTCTTTCCTTCCTTAACTCTCGTCTCAATGATACCTCCAAAGTCAAAATTTCTTTCATCAACCCATTTCTTCACTACTACATGTTTATTTTCTTGGTTAAAACCCCTCAAATTCCAAAAGAAACTAGCCATCTATTTCTTTTTGGATGCCTTCCTTCTTCCCACTGCAGCTCTTGGTGGAACCTTCTTCGTTAAAGAGGATTCATCAACAGCCACTACAGGTTTCGTCACGCGATTCAAAAAACCTCTTTCATGTTTCCCACCAGATTTCCCTGACTTGTGCTTTGAATCAACTCGTTCCTCAAGAATCTCAGCAAGAATTTCACCATCCTCTCTATCTGAATCCTCTTTTACACTTCCCTCCGTTTCCACTTCAAGCATCTTATCCTCCACATTCTCTTCTTTGTCCACAGCCAAGATTGCATATCTAGATGAAGTACTTATAGCAACACTGTCACTTATTAGCTTCACTCCCGATCTTCTTTGCACAGGGGTTGCTTCTTGCCATCCCTTTTCCCCTTCTTCAGTAGTGTCTCCCTTCCATTTACTATCCTTCCCTTCCACTCTCCTCTCCCCAGTCATCGCCTTCGTCTCTACATTCAATCCAACAATACTAACCTCCGACTTCTTTGTCTCAACTATATCTCTCTCACTACTTTTTATTGGGGATACCAATCTTACCTTCTCTCCCTTTGATTGACTTGTCTCTCCCTCCTCACGAACTATCTTCCTCTGTAACAGTTTAACTGTTCCATTAGCACAACAATCCTTAGGGTTATGGCCCCACTTTGAACAAATGTTGCATCTACTCGGAAGCCATGGGTAAACAAACTCAACTTCAGCATCTATCCCCAATTTTGAGGTAAACCTGTGAGACTTCGGGAACCCCTTTTTCACCTCTGCTTCAACAAAAATCTTAGCCTCCTCAAAACTTTTACATAACAGAGTGTCAGGGTGCAACCTCTTTGGTTTCCCTACTGCACTTGCTATAAATCCCAACCCCTTCCAACTGAACATTCTGTGAGGCACATTCTTGATCGTTATCCACATTGGTATTGTTTTGATCTCTGGCTCTGGCTCATCCTCAGCAATCGGAGCCCACTTCGTAACCACCATTGGAATATTTGCTACACTCCACATTCCTCTCTTTAGAACCCTTTCCTTTGTTGCTTTATCCTTGATCCTAAACTTCACCATAGTCTCGTTCATAACATAAGCATCAATCTTAATATTCTTATCTCCCAGAGACCATATCTTGTTCACTATTATGTGAACCCGTCCTATATGAGGAGCCGGTGCCAAGAACCTCCCCACAATCAGATCGTCCCACAAAGGTATCGCATCTTCAATCACCTGATCTGGTACAACCACCTGCTCTCTTCCTTCTATCACACCTACTTCTACGTCGTGCTCTGAAAGCACCGGTAGGTTTTGCACAGCTCGAGCATACGATCGCTTTACCTCTCCCTCTTTCGCTAAATCTTCCTTCTCAGCCCCAATCCCCAAAATTGATTTCACCACTTTCTCAACGTGATTCAGATCCTCCGATACTTGGTTCTCTCCCGTACGTGTACCTTCAAGTTCCTCCATCGGCGTCGTAACGACGACGATGACGAGATTCCGATGAAAAAAGTCGCCAAAATAATCGCCCTCAAAATCGCCTTTTTTGNTTTCGCTAAATCTTCCTTCTCAGCCCCAATCCCCAAAATTGATTTCACCACTTTCTCAACGTGATTCAGATCCTCCGATACTTGGTTCTCTCCCGTACGTGTACCTTCAAGTTCCTCCATCGGCGTCGTAACGACGACGATGACGAGATTCCGATGAAAAAAGTCGCCAAAATAATCGCCCTCAAAATCGCCTTTTTTGAAAGAATAGATACATTAGTCCTGGTTTGTTTACATACTCAATGCCTCTGCTTAAGTATTCATTGTTTTCTTTCTTTTGTGTTGTTTTATTGTTAAATTATCATGATTTCTCTTGTTGTCCAGGTCCGATTCAGTTCAAGGGACCGGGATCTGATGCGATAAATCACACTTTATTGCTCGAACTCGGTGCTCAAGCCTGAAGAATTTTGTTACTGTCAGATTCACTCACTTTCTTGTAAAACCTTTGTAGTAAGAACGTTCAATATTGTGCCTTGTGAGTCAAGTAAACAAGCATGTGATCAATGTGTTGTAACTTGTAAGCTGTGTTGTGATGGTATCTCGAATAGGCATATGATGGACTCATGTGTTACTAAATAAAAGTTTGGTAAGTTCAGATAAACTTGAACCGGTTTAATTTTGATTGCTTGGATTCACCAGAACGTCATCAAAGACGTCACTTTCTTGGAACTTTGGATTTTGAAATACCATGTGGCTCTCAAAACATGTTTAATGGAGGTTGCTTAGATAGATGCTTAAGAGAAGAGGGGTGCTTAATTTAAAGAGAGAGAGTGTGAAAAGTGTTTAATTAAATATGCTATTAATGGATATAAGTTTCAATGATGACTTTCGACGTGTCAGTAAATTGTTTGGCAGTTTCATATTTGATTATTTCTTCTTTTGTTTTTTTTATTTAATATTTCAATCATTTAATTTGTCTTTATTCGCCACTTTTTATCTTTTCTAAATTAGTGCAATTGAGCACTATACTAGTCAGGATCAGCCCAAACTATTTTAAAGGCTTATTCAAAATAAAATTTTGGACCCTTTTTTTAGGTAAATTTTTTTTAAAAAATTTAGACCCTTTTCTTAAGCAAAAAAATCTCAAAATCATTATGGACCCTAAACAGTTGGTTATTCTGTCTCCTCTATGGGCCAGGCCTGATACTAGTCTATCTAAGATAGCTTCAACTCTTTTTTTTTTTAAGCAGCTTCAACCTTTTAATGGATGCAAATTCTACATATAATTTACTTTTTCAATAATGTAAATACACACTTCCATGACCATGTCACAACTCGAGTAACCTAATCGCCAAGTCATCTCACGTTATCAAGACTGCTTCCTTTGACATCCATTATCTATATATATCCCATCTGAATTTGTCTATCTTTCACGTATACGAAAAACTTCTCTAAACGATTTCAATAACTTTCTTATCTTTCAAAGCGATAATGCTAGTTATCCAAACTGCCAAAAGGGCTTTTCTAGGGCTACAATATTCAAGATCGGTCATGGCTAGACAGTATCATGAGAATGTAGTAGACCATTATGAGAACCCTCGGAACGTTGGATCGTTCTATAAAAATGATCCCAAAGTTGGTACACGATTAGTGGGAGCTCCAGCTGCATGTGGAGACGTGATGAAGCTCCATATCATCGATGCTCGATTCAAGACTTTTGGTTGTGGCTCAGCTATTGCCTCTTCTTCCCTCGGTATGTTGGATCGCATCTTGTGTTTTCTTTTATCAAAGAGGGGACAAGGGATAGAATCTTATATGAGATTTGATTGTTTGTGTGTTTTACTACTCCTGTTTTACAAAAAAAGAAAAACAAAATCATTTTAACACATTTCACATGAATGTTTAAAAGTTACAAAATATACTACTATATTTTTATTTAATATACATATAATTAAATTAATTAATTTAACAAAAATTTATTGATTATTCAAAATGAAAAAATATTAAATATATAAGTTACCATATTGGAAATGTAGAAAAATCATTCTTTTGAAATAAAAATAGTTATAAAATGACTTTTTTTTTTTGAAAAAGGAAATGACATTTTGTGAAATGGAAAACATATATGTTCATGAAAACTTATTAAAAACTTAGTTTGCATTCCAAAATCACAAATAGCTAATAGCATCAAGTTTCAACTTGCATTTTAAAATCACATAGTAACCAATGGTTTCACTTAAAATTTTTGGTCAAATAAGGTTATATTTTGAAATTTTTATTTGACTATAACTAAATCAATAAAATGCATATCAACCTTCGTATTAGAAAAAAAAATGTCACTAACTCCATGATGCGATTGATTTGATTTTTTCAGCTATGAAATGGGTTAAAGGCAAAACGATGGGCCAAGTCTTCACCATCGAGAATACGTAAGCTACATACGGTTTAACTTATGTTATCTCTCACTGATCACATCAACGGTGAGATTTCTATAAATAGAAAAATGTTAATATTTTTGACCAAAAAAAAAGAAAAAGAAAAATGTTAATATTTTGATGCGGTAATTACTTTGGCAGCGAAACAGCAAAGCATCTATCGTTGCCACCTGTAAAACTTCATTGCAGTATGCTTGCAGAAGATGCTATCAAAGTAGCAGTTAAAGACTACATGGTTAAGCGTGCGAATATGCATGCACAAACCTAAAAGAGGTACGAAGGTTAATGTATATTAGATTTGTGGTTCAAGTAAAAAACAACAATGGTTGACAATTTGATATCTGTAAAATATTTGTATTCCTTCTCTCATTTTTTTATGAGAATACAAGAGGGCACTATTCAATAGATGATTCTGAAAAAAAAAAAGATGATTTTGAAGGAATTGATAATATCTACACTACAAGAAAAATCTAACGAAGGAATGACCAAAAATTACAAAATATTATGACGAATGATCATACTATTATTTAGCAGATTGTTTTTTATTCGGTAAACCACACTTGTATCCAGAGCCTGTCCTAACTATACGTTTATTAAGTGGATCTCCAGGCAGGATATGAATCATATGATAAGATTATTTTTAGGGGGCAAAACTACCAGAAACTATTACACATATCCCCTTATTATTATTTATTATTATTTGAGGAACACTTTTATTTTATAACCTTACAGTGACAGATAGGGGCAAAGGCAGAAAAGTTATTCTATGGGTGCATTGATTAATAAAAAAAATATGAAGGAATCGAACTTGTTCACTATGGGTGCACAATATGTTTTTGACCAATTTACCTAACAAGTTGTAATGATTTTAGGCTTAAAATTTTAATCTTTATAAATTTTATGGGTGCACTTGCACCCCTTGTTGATAACGTGCCTTCGCCCCTGGTGACAGAGGCATGATGATCACTCATAGGGGTCAAACTAATGTTTTTATAGAAAACTGTATAAAATTAATAGATTGTATTTGAATGAAATTGTGATAGGGGTCAAAAATATTATTTGATTGGGGTCAATATTAAGGAAATGGTAATATTTCAATATATTTTTAAAATATCATGTGGGTCAATTGACCTCCTTCCCCAACCTACCTCCGCCACTGAATTCATGTGTGATTAAAAAGTTTGCCATTTCCTAGATATCAACACTACAATGCACCTCACATCATTTAGTGAATAACCATCTTTTGTTTAGACTAATTACATGTTATGTCATTACCAAATAAACTTATTAATTGACTATAGTATATCTGTCATCCTAAATGCATGTAGAAGAGCTTATTTTATTTCTATATTTCGTTCTTAAACAACATACATTTCTTTAATATATTTCGAAAATTTAGTGTACTTAAAAAATAAGGACAATGTACTTCAAAAATTTAATGTACTTATTGGGCGCATACTTTTCATTTTAAATATACTTTGAAAATTTTGTGTACTTCGAAAATTTAGTGACATATATATATACTTCAAAAACTTAGTCACATATATAGTAAAAATGTTAGGCCGATATTTAAAAAAAAATTAGATCAACCTATATGTTATATTTTTGATCACCTTATATATGTATTTTCAAAAATTGTGTTATTTTTTTGACATTTAAAAATTGTTTTATATAAGTAGACATATATATATATTATTTTGTCTATTTTTATGAAGTGTCTTTACTAAAATGAAGGAACACATCTATATCTTATGATATTTACGATTATATAGCACCTTATAAACCATACTGGTCAAACTTTTAATTTTTATAAAATTTGATATGAAATAATAAATAGTGCATTTCTAAGGAATAAAATGTTAATAGGCCAACTTAGGAGTAACAATGTGAATTTTTAATATTTGTAGATTAAAAAACATTAAACACTAATTATGAGCTATCGCCAAAATTTTAATAGACCAACCTAGGAGTAACAATGTGTCAATTTGTAATATTTGTAGATTAAAAAATATTAAATACTAATTATGAGTTTTTGCCAATTAAGGGGATCTCTTAATTTAACAAAATGAGTAAATTTTGGCATAAATATTCATTAAAATTTATGCGAACATTACATAAGTAATTAGCATGGCCAAATTGATACCATTTTCTGTTTTGGAAATTCGTAAACAATTACAATATACATTCCTACATTTATTACATGTTTCCTAAATGTAAATATTTAAGAACTAACATAAAATACAAATTATTAGCAAGGTTGACGATTTCGGATATTTGTAAATTTATTAACACTAAACACAAATCAAATTATTATCACCAGTTAAATGGATCTCTGAATATTAAAAAAAAAGCGAAAATTTCGGCCTAAATATTCATAGTTCACTTTTTCAATATAGGAAACTTTCATTAGTTCAATAATACCTAATGAGAAGGTAATTATAAACTTTACAGTACATCCCAAGTTTTTTTTAGCTCATGAATCAAATTGATGAGCTTGGGAACCAAGTTTGGTTCTGATTATTAACTTTCTTTATACTGTGAAAAACTCGAATCCTCCTTAATTCATTTCATTTAGACGTGATAATTAGGGAATGTTAACAAGATTTGTGGCGCATAATCAAAATTGGACATATATATTACATTTTTTTTATGAAGTGTCTTTATTAATATGAAGGAACAAATCTCTCTATTGTATATGAAAAGTTAGCTGAAATGTGCATGTTTTATTAAAATTAAGTTTAAACATATATATACTTCGAAAATTTAGTGACACATATATACTTCGAAAATTTAGTCACATATATAGTAAAAATGTTAGGCCGATATTTTTTAATAAATTAGATCAACCTATATGTTATATTTTTGATCACCTTATGTATTTTTAAAAATTGTGTTATATAAGTAGACATATATATATATATATATATATATATATATGTTGTCTATTTTTATGAAGTGTCTTTATTAAAATGAAGGAACACATCTTATATCTTATGATATTTACGATTAAATACAAATTATTAGCAAGGTTGTCGATTTCAGATATTTTGTAAATTTATTAACACTAAACACAAATCAAATTATTATCACCAGTTAAATGGATCTCTGAAAATTAAAAAAAAAAGATTTTTAACATAAAAACCCCTCAACTAAGTTTGTTTTGGGTAAAAACCCCTAAACTAAGTATTTAATGAAAAAACCTCCAAACTAACTATATTTAGTGAATTAAACCCTCGCCGTTCATAATTACCAGTGCTACCGGTATATTTTTAGTTTAGAGGTTTTATCATTAAACATAAAAAATAAAAAAATCAAAATATAATAACATTATCTAAAAATTCATAAATTTTAATTTTCAAAACTAGCATTTTAAAAATTTCTGTAAATATATGCGTGATTTCTTATCCTTGTAAAATGGATTTTTAACTCTAAAATACCTTAACTAAGTTTTTTTGGATAAAACCCCCCAAACTAACAAGTAAACCCCCATATTAAAGATAGAAGGGTTTTTATCGTTAAAAATCTAAAAAAAAAATTATAACATTATCTAAAGATTAGTAACTTAAATTTTTAAAATTAGTATTTTTCAAACTTTCTGTAAATATATGAGTTTGATTTGTTTTAACATCAACATTATATATATATAGAGAGATTAAAATTTTAAAACACCAAAATATAATAAAAATCATCTAAATATTTATTATTACATTTTTTATTAAATATAATATAATTTTTATTCTGTTTTCTTGTTTTTATATTTATAACTTTTGATAATTTTTATTACAAGTAAATCTTTAGATAATTTTTGTTATATTTTCTTGGTTTTTACATTTTAAATTTATACATATATAATTTTGATTTTAAAAGGATAACAAATCAGACTCATATAGTTACATAATGTTTTTTTAAAAATGTAAGTTTTTAAAATTAAAATTACAAATTTTTAGATAATGTTATTATATTTTGAATTTTATTGATTTTTATGTTTAATGATAAAACCTCTAAACTGAAGATTTACCGGTAGTACAAGTAATTATGACCGGCAAGGGTTTTTAATTCACTAAATAAAGTTAGTTTAGGGATTTTTTTCATTAAATACTTAGTTTAGGGGTTTTTACCCAAAACAAACTTAGTTGAGGGGTTTTTATGTTAAAAATCCAAAAAAAAGCAAACATTTCAGCCTAAATATTCATATTCACTTCGACAATATAGGAAACTTTCATTAATTCAATAATATTTAATGAGGAGGTAATTATAAACTTTACAGTACATCCCAAATTTGTTTTAGCTCCTGATTATTATCTTTCCTTATACTGTGAAAAAATCGAATCCCCTTTAATGCATTTCATTGTTAGAGGGAATGTTAACAAGATTTGTTACGCATAATCATAATTTCCTAGAGTTAAGGGATTTCGTATACACTCTATATTCGAACACTATATATATATACCATACTAATTCCATTGGAGGAAGGTTGCTGCTATGAAATTAAAAATTTCATACTAACTCCTTCATCAGAGCATATTCGGTTGACATAGAACCGACACCATATCAGCCTCGATAACTCCTCTAACATTTCGAAGATCGATCCATTTTCCATGGCCACCTTTTATTGTTTTCCAGACTTTGACGATGTCTATCGTGGGTTAGTTCATCCTAAATTTTCTATTGGTATGTTTTCTATTCTATCTAATATATTCGTTATGGTAAAGTACGAAAGTATGCAGATTATATTAATATATATTGATGACTATATTAAGATTTGACACGTTTTGTTTGAAAAATATCTAGCAGATATTTATGGAGCTATAGTAGGAGTAAGATTTCTTGAAGAATATATAACATAACCTACTCTAGGGAACAATGGTTTTATCGACCACAAAATACATTTCTTTGTACTAAACATGGAGTAAGTATTCCACCTTTGGAAAACAAACTACTAATGAACTTAGTTTCATATTTGCTCATTTTGTTATGTTTTGCACTGAATATAGGAACATTGTTACTGAGTGTGTTGATTACGGAGTATTTGTTCGTGTTTTCCAAGCGTTATGGAATTCTACAGATGCAACTGTTGTACTCTGTGTGTTACAGTTCTGGAAAATTAATTAGGGAGTAAATAATGAATTATACTAGTTTTAAATAAAAATTGTGTTGGATATGAATCTTCTTAATACTGTGATGTCATTGTTCTTTTATTATGATAAGGAAAATTGAAGAACGTGACTAACATTAAAGGGTTTTCAAAAATTATTTTTGAACCCAAAGATGTTCCAGAAATCGATGCTTTCAGAAAGAGGTATATCATTTCAATATATAGAAAATAGTAAATAAGTTTGTTTTGTTTCGTAAACTTTTCATTGTTATTTCTCTCTATAGGATTGCACATTAGGAGTTTTGAAGACAATTTTCACATGATTTGGTGTTTTATTTTTATGACATCTTAGTTTCTTTAATTATTATATCTTTAGCTTTTTATTATGAATGCAATAATTCTATTTCTTATGTTTTTTTAAATTCATAATAAATTTATAGAAGTCTTTTCTTACTCTTATAGTCTTTTTTCCATGCAATATAATTCAGTGGATCTATCTAATTATATTTTTTCTTTAAAAAAACGAAATTAGCGTACATTATATAAACCTGAACATTATAGTACGATATTTTATTATATCTAATATTTGGGACTTTCAAATTTCTAATATCTATAGATAATTGGTAATAATCTTTTTAAGTCACTCACCTCGCGCAAGACGCGAATTATTATCTAGTAGCTTATTATAGTACCAAAATATAGTATACAAGGAGATTGGTTTTAATTATGAAGCTGTGAACCTTTTCGCCTTTTCCTTTGGAATAATAGACCATTTTTAGTTCTGGACATGTAATTTTCTTGAGAAAGTTCTGGACATGTAATTATTAAGACGGTATTTGTTTGTATGTAAACTTTGTTAGTATTTAATACATCTTTCGAGTACTAGAACTTTCAATTGATTTTCTTGTATTTCATTGCATTTTCCTTTAATGTTTTATCGAACGTGTAAATTATTATTTTTCTTTTTCGAATGCGTAATTTTTGTAAATCCACCTTCATTATGTATTATTTCTTTTTTTACAAAAGTGAATTTTCCACCAAATGTTTTTTTTGTTCCAAATATATTTCTAAAGAACTCCTTCAAAAGTTAAAAGGGAGAATTTCAGTTATACCACTTTGGTGGTACCACTTTTTATGTTTACCATCAACAAAGGAACATTTTCAAAAATACACATTTTATTAAAGGATAAAAGACTCTTATATCTTTGTTCTTTATATATATACATAAAATAAATATTATATTAAATATTAACCATAAACCCTAAAACATCAATTCTAAACTCTAGGCCCTAAAAAGTAAACCCTAAACCCCAAAAGTCAACCCTAAACCCTAAAATATCAATTCTAAACCTTAAACCCTAAAACTCTAAACCCTAAAAAGTAAACCCTAAACCCTAAACCCTAAAATATCAACATTAAACCCTAAACTATCAATCCTAAACCTAAAACCCTAAATTCTAATAGTATTTTGACTATTAAAGTTTTAATGGTAAAGTTGGTTAGTGTAAAATTGAAAAGTGGTATCTTAAAAGTGTTATTTCTGGCAATTTCCCAAGTTAAAAGTACTTTTTAACCACCGTGTAATGTTATTTCAACCGAACATCCCCATATATATTTTGACCATTTAACCTAATCCTATAGAGAAACCCCTCGAATTTCAAAAAAAGCTCAACAGAGAGATTAAACAGTAACGATGTTAAGGCAAACAGCGAGGTCTCTTTTAGGGCTTTCTTCACGAAAATCTACACAGTTTGCTATCACCTCTCGACTGTACCATCCGAGGGTAATCGGCCATTATGAACATCCCCGTAACGTTGGATCGTTTGATATAAATGATCCTAACGTTGGCACGGGATCTGTTGGAGCTCCTGCATGTGGAGATCTAATGAAGCTTCAGGTTAAGTTTGATGGTTCCAGTAAAATAGTTGATGCTTGATTCAAGACCTTTGGTTGTGGCTCCCCCATCGCCGCTTCCTCCTTTGGTATGTTTAATTTTTATGAGAAATTGTGAATCGATTTTTTTCTTCTAATTGCGTAATTAGGAATATAATTCATATAATAATCGATGTATTGTTTCATTTATAGTGAGATATCTTGTACAGTACAGTTTGTCAGTTATCATAATTTTTGGTGCAACAACAACATTGAGCTTTCAATGCTAAAGCTCATAAGTTTGGTGATGTTTGTTAATTATGTTTGTAAAGCTCTCAATCGTTATATTATTCATAGGTCAAAACACGTACATATATATATGAGATGGTCTCAGATGGAATAACTTCCATCCCAAGTAATGACATATTCTATATCCTAAACTATAGGAAACTTAACATTATCGTATGAATGAGAGATATATGGAATATATCTAATACTCCCCCTCAAGATGGAGAGTGTAGATCGCGAACTCCCATCTTGCAGAGAAGGTAATGAAACTGACGACGTCCGAGAGCTTTGGTTAAAAAATCTGCAATCTGATCATGAGTACCGACATGGAGTGTAGAAATGATCTTGTCTTGAACAGCATCACGAATAATATGGCAGTCGGACTCAATGTGTTTCGTGCGTTCATGAAACACGGGATTTCGAGCTATATGTAGTGCAGATTTGTTGTCGCAGTACATAGGTATTGGCTCTGTTGGTTTAACTCCAAAAGCAACAAGAAGTTCTAACAGCCATTGTAACTCGGAATAAGTATAAGCCATTGATCGATACTCAGCCTCGGCGGAAGATCTTGAGACAGTAGGCTGTTTCTTTGTTTTCCAAGATATTGGTGTATCACCAAGAAAAATCACAAAACCTGTCAGAGATCGTCTTGTTTTGGGACACGCCGACCAGTCTGCGTCGCAGTAAACTTCAAGTTTTAAAGGTGATTGTGAGTCCAAAAACAGACCCTGACCTGGACAACCCTTCAAGTAACGCACTACTCGAACTGCTGCATCCCAATGTTTCTTGCGGGGTTTAGCCATAAATTGTGCGAGAAGATGAACTGCATAGCTAAGCTCTGGACGAGTGATAACTAAGTATACAAGACGACCCACCAGCCTGCGATACTGAGAAGGATTTGTATGAAATTCTCCAACTTCTTGTCCAAGCGTATGATTTTGCTCTACAAGTGTGTCAAACGGTTTAGAACCTGACAAACCACATTCTGAGATAATGTCCAGTGCGTATTTTCTCTGTGAGAGATAAATGCCACTGTTTGCACGCGAAACCTCTATGCCCAAGAAATATTTTAGAACACCTAGATCTTTCATGCGGAAACACTTACTCAAGTAAGCCTTGAATTGTGCAGTAAACTCCTCATTGTTACCACCAATTACGAGATCATCCACGTACACGAGAACATAGAGCTTCGTATCACCATTGACATAGGAGAACAGAGAATAGTCTTTACGATTCTGGATGAAACCGAATTTAAGGAGAGCCTGAGAAAGCTTGGCAAACCATCTCATATATATATGTACGTGTTTTGACCTATGAATAATATAACGATTGAGAGCTTTACATGGTATCAGAGCCCACGATCCACACAGTCCAACCCGATCCTTATCGATCCAGCCCAAAGTCGGCCCATCGATCCTTGCCCGAACATTCCGAGATTGATGCCAGAGAGCCATCATCTCGAGGGGGCGTATTAGACACAAAGTGTCCCACATCGGAAGTTGGAAGAGATCATTAGTGGTATATAAGATAGATGAGCCACTCCACTAATCACCAATTGGTTTTAAGTTGGAAGTCCATCTAGCTTAACAATGTTTTATAGCGACTGAATGGGTCAAGGAAAAATCCATGGAGGAAGTCTTAACCATAAAGAACTTGTAAGTGTTTTTTCATTTTTGGTTTCAGTTATTGGATCATTGCATGCAATTATTGATGGTTTTGTTTGGGAAAATTCTCAATGTGGTTGAATTTTGCAGGCAAATCGCAAAGCATCTATTTTTGGCACCGGTAAAGCTACATTGCAGTATGCTTGCAGAAGACGCCATCAAAGCAGCAGTAAAGGACTATCAGAAGAAGCAAGCCGAGGTTAAGGGAGAAACCTTTGAAGCCTGATTACACCTATTTGTATTTTGGAACATGAGATGAAACTGAGGGATGTAATCGAAGAAGCGTTTTCAAGTAATTGTTATGTTTGGTTGTTCTAGTTTTGAGTTGTACTTGTTAAGTGGCTCTGATCAGTGCCGGTCCGGAGTTATCCGGCGCCTAAAGCAAACCAAAATAATTTTGCCCCTTAATTATAACTAAATTTTATTATATTTTAAAATAGACAATCAAAATAGTACCAAATATTATTAAAAGTTAAGTTGTTTCCAAAGAAATAAAAATACCAAAAATAACAAAACATTATTTGCAGTTCATTTTGTCAGATTTTTAAATTTTATTTAAAGTCATTTCGTTGTTTTTAATTTATTTTATAGTATTTCTTACAAATCCCAAGAAATACGAAGAACAAAATAGATAATTTATAGATAGAGCAAAACATATAATAAAGTCACATTAAGATCAGTTTCACGACTTTTATTGTGTTTGTGGAGTTTCAAATAATATTAAAACCCTATTATAGTTAAAGATTTTGAATCTCAAAATTTTCTAAAAGAACAAAAAAAAAAAAGAAAAAAAAAAGAAGCTATTTCAACAAAGATCAATCACAACAAAACAGTAGATTTTGAGCAATTAATCATTCAAGATAAAAAGGATTGTTGAAAGAAAAAAAAGGTTTTGTTTAATTACATTATGTATCGATCTAGTAACATATCATTTTAATATAATATGTTGATTAAAAATTATAGGGTTGGTGAAAAAAGTAACGAAATCCTCTGTGTATTACAATGAATAAATCATTTGTTATACTAGGTTCATAGCTCCGCGCAAGCGCGGAGCCGGAGACAGTGATGATGCATTATGATATTTTATAGATGGGATTTTGTCATTTTTTTGGACATTTTTTTGTTTGGGGTTTAACCGAAAACCCGATTGAGTTTCGCTGGTATATGAATGAGTGAAAATTCATATGCTTTGAAATATTCATATATTATTTTAGTAATGATTTTTCTCGAATATTTGTGTTATTAATGCTTTTATGTCTAGGATGGGTGATTTATTATGTTGTTATTGTCTAATTTGTAGGTTGGTAGTATATTATTGTTAAATAGTGAATAAGCATTTAAAAAAAAAATTAAAATTTTATTAAATTATACAAAGAAATATAGTTTAATGGATTGAAGAGAAAAAGATGAAACATGTTTGTTAAGGGGTTGTGTGGAATGTTTAGAGATCAATATTTATTAGTGAGTAAAGACATGTTTTTATTTACAGATAAGAGTGTTTGACGAATTTATATATGTTCGTATTTCTACATTTTTTACGATTTTATTGGATCTTAATGTTATTAGTGAGTTAATAACCATATGTAACCAAATATAGGTATTTGTTACTATACAACTATAATATGGGAACGAAGAAGAAATAATTTTGTTATTCGAAAAGAAATATAGTTGTTGTTTACAATGTGCCATGACATGTTTTGAAAATATATAACTGTAGTTTAATAAATGCTAAGGCTTATTATAATTATATACATGTATGACTAAGATAGCTATTTTTTTATATTTGTCAAAAACATTTTGTGGTAGATTAAAAATGGGAATGGTAGATTAAAAATTTTAGTCGTATAGGATTATATTTGAACACAATGAAAATGTAGTAGCTGGGTTTTAAATGATTGGACTTGAAATTTGATGAGCCTTGAGTCTCAGTTTAGATCTGAAACTGGATTGTTTACTCGCCCTTTTTGTTTCTCCTCGTCATCTTCAGTAGTGTGACAAGCTCTTGTGATTCTTGGTCTGATTGTGTTTTTAGTGTGTCATTTTGTGAAATTATGGTTTTTCTATAGCAACATGGAAGAGAGATTAGCTTACCTTAGTTAAGGCTGTCTCCATCGCATTCCTTACTTAGTGAACCTCTGTTGATTCGATGTTCTCGGAACCTGCAATAAGAAGGTTTGAATTTATTGTATGACTTTATTTCTATTATTATTAGTTTCGTTTACTAAAACTCATATTGAATGATTTTGAGGTACTATATGTTAATTTTGTTGGTATGGCTTATGTTTACTTTAACATGACAGAGAGACTTGAAGGCTGCATGACCGATGCCGGTGATGCTAGTTTTAGGAACTGGAGAAGGAGAGAGAGACATTTTCTAGAAGATGGTTAAAGTTAAGAGGAATAGAGAATCATATATATGATTTACAGAGGGGCTACAAATCAGGAACATTTATGATCAAGCGATGTAAGATAGGGAGATGAAAAGTTCACCGGTGAAAAAAATAGATTACGAACAGACACACGACGCAGCTCTATAACTCAGACCTGTATGAGACGATGGTGAAAGGAATCTTAACTCATTTTAAACATTAACGGTTTACAATATGAGAAAACTGTAACTGTTGTAAACTTGAGGATTTTCTTCATATAATATGATGAAGCCCAATTAAAAATGAAACTCATAATACACTTCCAAGCCCGAATTTTAAAGGAGGCCATAAATGCAAAGGCTTCCGGCTAAATATATATTAGTTTCGGCCATCAATGTACAAGTTATCTTATAGTTTAGTGGTATGAATGTTAAGTGTTTGTTTCTTAATAACCCGGGTTCGAATCATATGTTTGATATTTTTTCACATTTTTAAAGTGGGATCCACCTAATGCTGATGTGGCGCGTTGAGGAGTCTTGAAACTCAACTATTATAATATAGATTCCCAGAGGAAGAAAACAATGTTATGAGTATATCACAAACAATAAAAACGGAAGCGGTTTTCGAACCCTATAATTCAAGGATCAAAACGAAGAGCCACATACCTACAACCACTGCCTACAATAAAGTATGCAAACTTAGGCGCCCCAAAATTATTTATAGTTTGTGGCACCTAAAGCTCTTGCTTTATGGGCTTTAGCCTAGGGCCGACCCTGGCTCTGATTGAAACATATGAGGATAAACTGAGTGGTTCTGATCTAAACTCAATTTAAAAGTGTTCATCTCCTTCCCCTATGGTTTCACCGAATATATTTGCTGCTCTAAATGGTTAGGTAGCCAATGACTCACATATAAATTCTTATTTCAAAATCACTTGCTGACTGGTCTTCTTATTTTTGTTACATTATTCCCAAGAGAAGTGCAAAGTGAAAACTAAAAGTTAGGATATGCATTCGCGTCTTTGAGTCATCTCCATTCCCAAAGTATTGGAAGTACCTAATTAAAGGAAAATCGAAAGTCATTTTGAGTCTTTGACCATCGTTTCTGTTTTCTCTTTATAACTCATATCGAAGTCAAGTTACAAATTATCATATTCCTATGAAAGATAAGACCAGCCTAGGTATTTTATCTGGTGGATTTGCAAATATCTTGGAAAGAACATTGGCAAGTGTGTGTACGGCTCAAGGCAAATAATTTTCAAGTATTTCACCAAATGCTTGGATTTTTGAGCTAATTAGAACAAAAAAAATATCTTTTATTAAAACTTGTTATGAACTTAACTCTGAACAAATATTCATAGATAGAGAAGAAGATAAGTGGTATGTTCTGCAAGTCAGAAAAGGCAAATTTAAGCACAACTAAAAATTAGAAACATATACATCGGAAAAATAGAGAGAGTGTGTCTACCAAGCCACTATGAAAACCATGAACCAGAGGCTTTAAAAAATAAGTTCATGCGGAATCGCCATCTACAAACAATAGACGAATGTAAGAGATAATAAGTTACAAGCATAGAGACATAACCAAAGTCACAATCTAAGGATAAACGGGTAACAAGTAGCATAGAGAAAGTTTAACAAGTAATAACTCCATAACCACCTAACCATCATCTACCTATGTCTAATCAGAAGTTATTACTAAACTACTACTACAAAGCTATCAGCTCTAGTGTGTGTTGGATCATTAAATTTAAGTACGGACCTATCAGCTCTAGTCATTACTACACTACAACTACCAAAGCTAAAAGGTACAGAAGGAACTACAATACAAGCAAAGAACACAACTTCGTACAAGTAACTTCAAAACAAAACACAATTTCGTTAAAGCAAAAACTACACAAGTAGCTCTAGTCATTACTACACATTACAACTACCAAAGCTAAAAGCTACACAATAAGTTTTCTTACTTCACTAAATTTTTTTTTCAAGTTCTCAGCTTTCCTTCATGCCGTTTACAGTGTGATCAGAAGCTACAAGAATACGCAATAAGCTACAAGACTAGGCAATAAGTTTTCTTACTTCAATACAGAGCAAAAAGCTATCAAATTTCGTTCAAAAAAATAAAAAACATCAATCACAGAACTAAATGCTATCAACTTTCAGTCAAAAAATCAAAAACAACAATCACAACAAAGAATCACACGAAACTAACATGCAGAGGAAATAGATCTACAAACTGAACTTAATCAACCGAACATATCATCAGCAAAAAAAATCTACGAAACCCGACTCGGAGGAATTATATCGAGGAAGTGAATCTAATCTACCAAACAAAACATCACAAGAAATCAGCATGCAGAGGAAGTAGATCGATTTAGACATGCTAAGGATTTGACATCGAAAAAGGAACATATACCTTTTAGATTGAAATCAGCGGAGGATAAGGATGGAGACAGACTCGTGAGGGAATGTAGAGAGATTCTGGAGAGATTTCGAAGGTCTTCGGGAGAGATTCGGGATGAAATCGTCGGTGAAATCGTCGGGATGAAATCGTCGCCGTCTAGAGAGAACCAGAGAAGAAATCAATTTGGGAAAGGGAAAGGGAAAGTCGACTTTCCCCTACACGACTTCACCGCTTCATCTCCACTCGACAGGTGGCAAGAAGGACCAGCCCAAAATCGACCTTAGTTAAGACCTGTCCCAAATTAATATGTCCATTTTCGATTTATTTTTGGGCCCAAAAAATGCTAAGGACCAACATGACGACCGATAATCTTGGTCTAAGATACTCGTTAATTGCATGCATTAGTAATTGTTGGACTTTGAAATTTCGCTTACCAACATTAATTTATTAGTCA